ATCCTAGCTAGAGCTAATAGACAAAAGGAAACTAAAGCAATACAAATCAGAACTGAGAACTTAAAGTTATCACTGCTCACAGATGACATGATTCTATATACAAGAGGACCAAAAGACCCAATCAAGAGAATACTGGAACTCATAAGTAGTTAAGAATACAAAATTAATGAACATAAATTGATTGCCTTAAAATACACAAATAACTCCATGGCAGAGAAAGAACTTGTAAATAGAGTTTCCTATAAAATAGCAGAGAAGGCCCACATACCAGTCCTCACCAAAGCTATGGATGGGGCCCTGTTTGGCAGGGTTAGGTACCATTACCCGACTGGGTGGTGTAGTGGTAGAGTGGTCAAATTTGGGAAGGTCAAGACACTATCCAACATGTGAAAGAACTTGGTCTGGGGGTAGATCTGTGGGGTTGTGTGGGCCCAACCCTTTGGAAATACAAGTTCCCCTGGTTAGCTCGCAAACTGGGATTGCAATGCACTAAGCTAGATATGACCGTGCCACCTGCCATCACTCACGAGTAAGGGAACCCACAACAGTCAGGGCAGGTCAAGGCAGCAGCACCCAAATGTACATCCTAAAACAGGATGTGGGGTGGGCAAGGCTACAACTGGAAGAGGACAGAATGGGCCGGGCCGAACAAACCTTAACTCACAAGAAACAACAGAAATAAGGCTGAAGCACAGCTCATACCAAGTAGGCCCTGTACCTACTGGTCCACATCAGCCAGAGACGCTAAGCCACAGTGTATAAGACAGATTAGGGACAGGTGAGGGGCTGTGCCAAGCTGAGTCAGAGTAACCACTGGCATGCACATGATCTAAGCTTGGGAATAGACCCGGTTGGGGAGCTAAGGGGACAACCCTAGTTGGGTTGAGGTTCCCACCAAGGAGCACATGGGCTGGAATGGGGGCTGCATTCTGATCAGGAAACAGTTGTAGTCTCCCTGGGCACAAATGTGGACTGTGAATGGATGCACTAACCTGGGCCAGACTCCAACACCCTCTGGTGTCCTGGAGGACCAGGGTAGATGTGGGATGGACTAGGCAGAGTCTCAACACCTACTGAGCCATGTGTGAGCCATATGTCGGTATTGACAAACCATGGCTGGGCTGAAACATCCTACAGCAAGGACCAATTTGGGTTGAAGACCAGTCAGGAAAAGCCACTGTTCCTGCTAGGACAGGAGGTGAACTGAGTAGGGCTGGCTCATGGACCCACTGGTAAGCGTGAAAATCTGGCATTGGGAGAGGTTCTGATGGAGGAGCCTGGGCAACTCCTCTGGCAGGACACAGTCCCTGCAGGTAAGTGCAAGAAATATGATAGGAAACAGCCCAGAACAGGCCATGGAAATTATCCCACTGGTATACATTTGGCATAGTTTGGGGAAAGACCAGGCTGACTCCGTACACATCAACCACTGGCAAATCCAAGCACCAGAACAGAGTGGGGGTCGAGCCAGGTTCAGTTGCGATAAAAACCAGTCCACAATACGGAATGCCAAAGTGAGGTTGCCTGTACCAGATGTGACTGCAGCACCCAAACAGCACATGTGAAAACCAGAGGGAGGAGGGAAAGTGGACAGGGAAATGTGGCTCCCCTGCTGGACAACTACTTCCACTGGAAAGCATGAGTCGGGATGGAGACAGATCAGACTAGGCAGGGCTACAACACCTGTGAGCTAGATAGCAGGGCCTCATGTGAGCTAGATAAGGGAAGGGCCAGGGTGGGCTGACTGTTCCGACTGGTGCAAGCAAAAATTAAGAGTGGGTGAGGGATGGTTGGGCTTTATCACAGCATCAGCTGGCAGATGCTGGCACTGGGAGCTAATTCCGTCAAGTCAAATGCCAGAACCACCTGGAGAGTGCATAATCTGGGAGTGGGAGTGGCCTGGGAGGGAGATAGTGCTCACCTCCCTCGAGGTTACCACACCCACTGGACAGCATGAAAACCAGGACAGGGGCAGGGATGGCTAGACAGTGTTGCAGGGTGCAAGCAAGATCACACCAGACATGTCTAAGGCTTATTAAAGAGTCTTTATTAACCAAGCTTGGTGACAATAGAGCACAATGGCAAATCACAAGTCCATACAGCAAGCTAACCAATTATAATCCCAAAAGGAACAAATGGACATTAAGTCCATCCATTAAGCTGAAAACCTATGTCCCAGCTTCCCCAGCAATATAGGTTACCCTAAGAGACATGCAACGAATAACCAGGACACACTCACAAAGACCCTGGACACACTTACAAAGGTGCAGGCATTGACCTTTCCCTGACTTCTCTGCCCACATTCCACTACTGCTAGGCCTCACCTCTCCTGGAACTCCTGAGAGCACACAAAACAGAAACAACATTATTACAACCATTATTCTATCTAAGCAGTACACAAGGACCATGCTCAGGGGATCACCTGTCCTGGGTCAGCCAAGAGTCGAGGTGCTAGCGTAATGTAAGCAGCTGGCCAGAAAGAAAGAGAAAGAGAGAGAGAGAGAGAGAGAGCCCCTGCTTCCTGGGCTTTTTAAAGGGGCTTGTGAGGGGAGTGGTTACACAACAATGCAATACCACCCCCTCTCAGTTGATAGGTATTTGCTCCTGCCCACCTGTGACTCACCTAAGTGTTGTGAGTTAAGAAGTTAATTGGTGCTCATTGGGAGGGGCAGGAACAGGAACTGGGCTTGTAGCTGAAAATGCCTAGACTAATTGGACTTGTCTGTATCCAAAATCTTGGCTAAATTAGGATGTGGGGGAAGTGGATGAGGATGGAATTATTCCATTGCTGTTAGGACCCACCTTCAGGACAGAGGTTGAGGAGCACAGCCAAATTTCATTTGCCCACTATCTCTGGCTGCACCACATAACAACAGTAAGGCACCTGCCAGTAGGTGTGTGGGCTGGATAGTAGGTTGGTTGGGTTGAACTAGGCTTCAATGCCCATTGACATGTACGAGAGCTAAATGGGATGTGGAACAGACTGCACAGGCCTGCGGTACATACTGGCAAGCATGGGAACCAGGGCAGGGGGCAGAACTGGTAGGAGTTATGGGAAGTCACTCCAGTTAGGCTGCAGCTCCTACTGGTTTGCATGAGTACCGAGTATGAAGTGGGTAGGATCGAGCTGGACTACAACAACTGTTGGTTCATGAGGAAGACAGGGCTGGAAACAGAACTGACCCAGCAATAGCAACGACCAGCATGTGCTTAAAGTGGTTGGCGCAACCAACAGTGTACAACCCTGTACTAGCAAACTCCCACAAGAATCAGATCTGGGATCATCTCAAATGAAGTTTCTTTGGAGATTCCTCCGACTGAACTGCTGAGCTCAGAACCCCACAAAAAAAAAGACTATGTCAACCAGTGGACTCTGAATAGGTTTCATTGCAATTGGAATGGCAAGATTGGCAGAAATCCAGAACTGTTGAACTATCAAAACTCCTTGAGAGGGAACCTCAGAGCATGCTTCACGTTGGGGATCTGGGAAGGGTGTGAGGCTCGGTGGATCTTTTCACTTTGTTTCTCCCCTGACCCCAGATACAGGGAAAAAATGACAATATTAGTGGGAAAACAATGCTATTATCCACTTTCATCCTGTAGCTCTTGACGCTTTCTAATCTAATCAAATAAGTAAGATTATTTAAAAAAAAAAAAAACAACCTACAGGGAGAAACCATTAAAAAAATTTTTTTAAAAAGCACCTATTTGTGGACAGGTACTTGCCCTCATAGCTCACAATAAAGTCACAGGGTAACAGGACACATTCCAAATCTGAGTGCTTGGGTTTGATGACCAGATCCAACTCCAACTCCCAATTACATCTTCTTGTCAGTGAACACCATGGGAGGGAACAAGTGACAGATCAAGTAAATGGATCCCTGACACCCATATTGAGACCAAGAATGAGCTGCACACTCGTAGATTTGATCCCAGCACAGCCCTGACACTACCCTGGCCACTGCAGACATTCAAGGAATGGAACAATAAATAAGTAAGAGTGTGTGTCCCTTCTCACTTTCTCTTCCTCCCAAACAAGTATTATTTTCATTCACAGGGGCCAGTACTCAACCTAATGGTTAAGACACTCACTACTGCCACTGAAATGTTTGGTTCAGTTCCCAACTCCAACACATGACTCCTACTTGTGTTGACTAAAGACACTCTTGAGAGGCAGCACTGAGCAGGGGAGATGCTGACATCACATGGGAGACCTGAAGGAGTGCCCAACCAGCAGCTTTGATCTGGCCAAGCACTGGCTGTTGATGGCAGATGGGGAGAAAACTAGCCATGGAATCTCTTGTCTTTCTCCTTCTCTGCCTCTCATTCTCACTCTCCCCATCTCCCTATCGAGCAATACTCAGAATGATGCAATAATTTCAGATGTTTCATACACACCAACACAGAAATCCATCCACTAATATCCTGGAGGGTTTCCAGGATTAGGAACATGTACTCAGAGTAACTCATTCCTCAGCAACCAAGGATGTGTTGAGGAAGACACACAGCTTGGACAGTGGTCAGAGCACATAACAAAGAGAACAGCGTCCCAGAGGACCAGGAAGACATGGGGGGCGGGGGGAAATTAGTACTTACAGTGTAGGTATTTGGGGATAAGAAGGTCATAGAACTAACAACCCTCTTACTGACATCTGAGATCCAAACAGCTGGGTGTGGTTTCCAGCGTCTTCTAGAGTCCAGCAATTCTTGATCTGAACAGGGTCACCCTGCTACTCTCTAACCATGGTCACCACCCCAATGAGAAATACCAGCTGAACAAGGTCCTGCAGAGGGTGGCCCTAACAGTGACCTTCAGGAGAGGGAGAGCCCAAAATGGAAGAAGAGCTGTGCTCCTAAGGAGGAGTCCCTGCTTGGGGGCCACAACATGGACAGGGAAAGCAGGGATGTCCCTCCCATGCTGGGGAAATCCACACACAGAGGAGGGGAAAGGCAGGGCAGGGCAGAGGGAGGGGAGGCAGAGGAACCATCAGCTCACTTACCAGCATACAGCTGCGCCTTCCTCCAGGCTGAAAGGAAACACACCTGTGAGACTACAGCCACCACCTGCTCAGCCCCCACCTGCCCTCTGTGCTGAGGGGAGAGACAGCAGGAGGAGGGGGGCTGCAGAGGAGTGGCCTCCTGTAGGTTAAGACATCCAGCAGAGGACTGTGGGAAGTTCCTGGGCCACACATCGGGAAGCCTGCTCTGACCCACTGCTGTGGGACTTTTACTATAAAATTCGCTGCCTGAGCCTCAGGACACAGAGACTCCTGTGTCATGTGTCCCTCGGTGTTCCTTGTCAGATAGAAGAGTACATCACCAAATATTTAGTGAAAATTATAATTGACTCTATATGTATGACAATTAGTTATTGTGTATCATTTCTAGAAAGTAAAAATTGGAATAATTAAAACCAAAAAAGTAAAATGAATTTCCAGTGTGGTATATCAGGCTAAGCCATCACCCACAGCATGACATTTCAATATGGGTTCAAATTCAAACCTCAGCAGAGCCACTTCTGATCCAGATCCCTGCTACTCCAACTTGGAAGGCAGAAAAGAAAGGCCAAAGTACTTGGGCCCCTGCAACCACATAGGAGATCAGGAAGAAGCTCCTGGTCCCTGGCTTTAGCATCAACCAGAACTGGCTATTGTGGCTATCGGGGAAGTGAACTAGCAAGTGGAAAACTTCTGTCTTCACATGTGAAATTCACATCCCCAAGTAAAAATTAGAAAAATATGAAGTAAATCTTAAACATGTATAAACATAAATATGGAGACAGACAGAGAGAGAGAGAGAGAGAGAGGGAGGGAGAGAGGGAGGGAGAGAGGGAGGGAGGAAGGGAGGGAAAGAGGGAGACACCAGACACCAATAGTCTCACAAAAATTCATAACCTCCATGACTCGCTAGAACTGGTCAGCAGCCCTGTCCTCTACCCATCCATTCACACCTGCACCTGTGCAGAACAGGACTAATTGCCTCACCCTGCTGACACATTGAGAAGGAAGCAGGTCACACTCCCAAGCCCAGTGTGACATTTACTCATATCCCACCTCCCATAAAACCTAGAACACCTGCTTTGGGATTCCTGATGCACACACAAGCTTGGTACATTGCAGGCTAAGACAGTAGCAATACTCATGTGAGGGACACATGTCAGAGTTGGAATAAAACTCAGGTGGCAGGACGAAATCCTTGGCCTAGGTTTGCACCCTGGGCTTAGAGCAGAGATGAGAAACAGTTGCATGGATGGTAAAACACACTGATCCAGGATTAGCCAACCACCAATGCCCCTGCTGCCCCCCCAAGAAGGGGTCCATATCTCTGTGCCAGGACAAAAACAAGGAGAGGGGACAGCCAGGCAGGGCTGGGACAGGAAACCACAAATCATTTGCAAAGTCACTCACCAGCCCGGAATGCTGCCTTCCTCCGACCTGAAAAGCACCACACAGGGAACAGGTGAGCTGACAGCCACAGGATTCTCTCCAGCAAACACAGAGCTCAGGAGAGAGAGCAGAGCTTACCGAGTTCTGCCTGGAGCTCATCTGAAAGAGAGTGGAAACACCATGAACTCCACATCAGGAAGAGGAGAGACCATGTGCTGAAGACCCCACAGGAAAGCCCTCTGCTCTGTGCTATACACAGCTCTCACTCCAGACCCACCACACCTCATACCCTGGATGTCCTCTGAGAGCTGCCCCATGGACTCCAGTCATGTCAGGCTGTCCCCTCTATGCACCAACTGCCACCCCTGCCCTTCTGAAACCTTCCTCCCTACCTCCAGACTTCAGCACCTCCTCCTTTGCCTGCTGGTCTTCCTCCTTAGCCCGGCACAGATCCTTCTGTCTCTGCCTTTCCCGCACCTTTGCAGAATGCTCTCTCTTGGTGACCCAGCCAGCTCCAACAAGTAGCAGCCCCAGCACAGTCAGGCTCACAGCGAAAGCTGCCTTCCAGGAAAAGGCCTGAGGAAAGAAGGGCTCTGTGCCCAGGAGATACAGTTAGGGGAGGACCCAAGCCCAACCAGCACACCCAGGGACACCACCTCTCCAACCATGCTGGGAAAGACAGATAGCACTGACCTGGGATGGGAATGGCCATGACCTTCTCCTGACCCAGGATGGGATTGAGGATGGAGCAGGTCACATCCCCTGCAGAGCTGTCTCTCACCACCAGAGCAGCCTCCACGCTGAACAGACCTGCTGCATCTTGGGTGTGGGCCTCAGAGAACTCCAGGAACTTCTTTCCACGGACATCTCTCCACTGCACCTGGGGCTTCGGGAACCACCCTGAAGCCTTGCACACCACACGAACTCCATCCGTCTCTGGCCCTTCGATGTGCACTTGTGGGGCAGAGCCCAGGCCTGCAGGAGGAGAGCTGAGGAGGTCTTTGGGAACCATAGGGAACCCACAGTTTCAGCAAGGTTCTAGTGTTGACCAACTTCAGGTAGAGTCATGCATGCTGCATTCTGGAGACCCCATAAGAAGAGCATGCCCTGAAGGAGGCCAAGAGCCCTGGGACCTTTAGGAGGAACAAGCTGAGGGGGCATTTATGACTCAGGGTCCTACATAACAGAAGCTATTGGGTCCCAGGACTCTTCCTTGATGCTCTACCCTTCTCACCTCACTGCCTTTGACATCTGCTTCTACACATACTGCCTCTCTGGAAATCACTTGCAAAACCACACCAATCAACAACTCTGTCTCCCCAGCTCCCTTCCTTATATCCATGTATCTGTGTGTTATCTCAACCAATTGCCTTACAAACATTTGAAACTCAAATGTTGAGCACTGAATTCACAATTTTGACATCCTAGAGATCAATTGATCATAAAGTACCTCTTAAACTTTATCCTTCTTTATACTGAGCTAGTTCTTTGCCATGTGCTTTGTAATTGATTAACACTCAGAAATTCATCATGTGACTCAATTTGACCAATGAAAAACTGAATAATGTGGCTTAAGCACAGGCTGGGAATGTTCTTGTGTTATTGGTTTACTCTCAGCCATTTCCACAAGAACAAAGTGCCTGGGGTAGGCCCTGGAGGACAGGACTGTTGGGATGTCACTGGTCACCCAGGCGCTCTGGTTGAGGATGCCCTAGGAGAGCCAACAGTCATCTGACCAACAGAAACGTGAGCACACTCAGCTTATGGTCTCACAGTGACCTCTTCAGCTGATGGAAAGGACAAACAGCAATTAGAATAAGATTTCATTTTCCCTGTTGTAAATAAGATGAGAAATTCCCTCATCTTCTTTTTTTCTGCAACTGTTTACTTTAGATCACCTCTCCTTGTATTGAATATGACGTTATCATTTTACAAACTAGAGAGACCGGGTCTCAGTACGGGGCGTCTCATGCCTGGAGTCTAGACAACAGCCAAAACATGCACATGGTGAGCTGTCCCTGGTAGACATACGCCATTTGGCACCAGGCTCTGCCTGATGGTCGCCCAGCATGGACCTCTGGGGTTTTGGTTGTTTGAATCGTTGCTAAGATAACTCCAGGTTGAACTCACTGTGGTTCTAGGATGTGAATCAATCCTAAAGACAGTAACTCTTCCTTTGTAGAACTTGTAATCACTGAACAACACTGACCACCAAATACCAGTCATGCAAAAGCTATTGCTCGGGGCTTGTCCAGTAGAATTATATCCTGTCCTGACATAATATTGGATCAGGAGAAGGGTCACATTAAGCAGACCATTACATTAACTAGCACTCGAGAAACAAATCTGGGGGTAGATTCTGTGGGGGATGTGTCGGCCACACCCTGTGGAAATTCTAGTCCCACTGGTTAGCTCAAGAGTTGGGGTGGTGATGGACTAACCTAGGTGTGACCAAGGAGCCTGCCATCAATCACAGGTAAGGAATCCACAACAGTCTGGACTGGTCAAGGCAGCAGCACCCAAATGTGCATCAAGAATAGGGTGTGAGGTGGGCCGTGCTGCAATGATCACCAGCTCATACAAGGCCAAATGGAAGGCCAGACTGTGTCGGGAACTAGCCTAAACCCAATGGCATGTATGAGGACTGGATTGCAGAGTGGATTAAGTGGAGGAAGCGGGAAACTCCCCTGGCAACTCCCACTGGTGAACATGTGGTCCAGACCTGGGGGTCAGATGAGCTGGTCCAAGTAGCTCCAACAGCTGGGTAATGTGTGAATTAGTAATGGAATAGGGTGGACCAGGCAGGACTGGGCAAACCTCAGCCCAAAGGAAACTAGAGACCAGGACGGAGCACATGTCATGCTGAGCTAAGCTTCTGTACCTACTGGTCCACATCAGCCAGAGACGCTAAGCCACAGTGTATAAGACAGATTCGGGACAGGTGAGGGGCTGTGCCAAGCTGAGTCAGAGTAACCACTGGCATGCACATGATCTATGGCTGGGAGCAGGCGCGGCTAGGGAGCTAAGGGGACAACCCTAGTTGGGTTGAGGTTCCCACCAAGGAGCACATGGGCTGGAATGGGGGCTGCATTCTGATCAGGAAACAGTTGTAGTCTCCCTGGGCACAAATGTGGACTGTGAATGGATGCACTAACCTGGGCCAGACTCCAACACCCTCTGGTGTCCTGGAGGACCAGGGTAGATGTGGGATGGACTAGGCAGAGTCTCAACACCTACTGAGCCATGTGTGAGCCATATGTCGGTATTGACAAACCATGGCTGGGCTGAAACATCCTACAGCAAGGACCTTAATACCCACCATTAAACATGAAGGAAACAAAATGGAAAAAATACTAGTCTTATCCACATTCATGTAGCGCTTGAACCTTTTTGCCCTAAGTAACTATGTAATGATTGTCAAAAATATAATAAAAATTTTTTTAAAAATCATACTAGACAGGCCTTTTGATGGCTAAATGACCCAGGAATGTCTTTCACTGCCCAGGAGACAGCAGGCTGAAATGGCACAATCAAAGGATTCAACTCTCCTCTCCCTCTTTCTGTGCAAGCATCAGGGCCTCACCATGTGGAGTAACCACTTTCTAATATAAACTAGAAGAAGTAGAGATTTCCTCCAGATAAAAGCAACTAACCATTAAAATTACCAGGTAAATTGTAAGTGAATTACATGTGAAATTCAGTGCTTCAAGCCTTGTTATTGGAGGATTAATCTGAGTGCTAGGTTCGAGTTCCCACTGTGTCCAATCCAGCTCCCTCCTGATGAGCACATTCTAAGCCATTCATTCAACAATTGATACTTCTGACTGCTCTGGACCCATGCATAAGGCCCTCATTGCTTCAGAAACAGAAACAAGATAGCCTGATAAGAGCCACTAAGGGCCCAGCAGCCTGTGGCCGCATCAGTGGCTACAATCATTTTATTTATCACAGATTTGATGGCATTGCAAGTTTTCATTAAGCTTTAGTGCTAGGGTATCCCTGTCAGCCAGGAACCGGGGACCCAGCACATTCACCCACAGGAGGTAAAGGGGCCAAACTCCAGACAGACCTGGCGTAGAGGAACAGGCAGCTGAGCATCTACATGATGGCTCTCAGTGGGTTCCATCTGGGACCAGGCAGAGGCTCACATCACCACACATCAAGGACACATACTCAGAGAAGGTCACTGGTCCTTGTGAGATCACAGAGTGCTGACTGGCAATGAATTCCGCCAGACTGAAGCTCAGGACCCTCCAGGCCCAAAATGAGACAGAAAAGGAAAAGAAAACCAAGGTCACAAGACAAAAACCAGAGTTTGCACCCAGCATGACGGGCTGCTACACTCCAGGGTCTCTCTATTCCTTTAATATATCTGTTTCTTCCCTCTCATGCCCAATTTGCCCTTGGGTGCCACTGTGTCAAAGACCCAGTGGAAAAAATGAAAATGTAACGTCTTTAAAGGTATGGAATGCATATTGGACCTGCTTGTCTACAACAAAAAGAAAGCTTTCTTTCTGTCTTCACAAGCAGTGAAGTTCAGTTCCTATATCGTGCAATGTGTTCAGGTGTGATTCTCAGCAAAGTGTTGTCTTCCTCTAGTACCTCTGCTGGCAGGATATTTCCTGGAAACAACGATAATTTTGATATCACTTCCACAACCGGAACAACAATGTGTGAGTTACACAAATGAGATTAGCCAAGCCCAACTCTGGTTAGTTTAAATCCCTCAGTGCCTATATTTAATTCTGCAATATTCCACTGAGATTTCCTGGCTGTTCCTTACACAGTATTATCGTGGGAATCTTCCTTGACACATAATCACCAATATTCCCACCACAAAGAACAAGCAGCCAAGGTAAACCCTCACAGTCCCTGCAGTCCCCACCTCCCCCTCTGAACTCTCTGTCTACAGTGAACTCATGAATTAGATCAGGCTATTAAACATCCCCCATGGCTGACACCTGCTCTAGCAGCACATGCTGCTGCCTGAGGTCACACACTGATCCTCTCCACCCCAGACTGCCCTCCATGGCCCCTCACTCACTTTCCATTCCACATCCTCACACCCACCAAAGAGAATCCTTCACCACTGCTGTCCAAATTTCCCTATTCTTCATCCACAATCCCAGCACAGCACACACAGCTGAAGCCATCTGATATCTGTCTCACATTCAAAACCCCTTCCCTCTGCCTCTAGCTCAAACCCCACAATCTGCTCCACAGGACCCACACACACTGTCACAAGGATTCTTGGGACTACTGTGGAGGGCTATGGTCATGTGTCTTACAATTGCCATCCTTCTCACATTCAATCCACAGAGGATCCAGGGATTTTTACCGCAGTGCCTGTGTATAAGTAGAAGTGCCTCTGCCAAATGATCTTTTTCCCTGGTCAGTGGGCACTGCTACTCCAGGAATATCTAGCTCCTTGTTGCAGTATTGTCCTTGCACATTGTCACATTGCCATCCCCCATCATCCCTTCTACCCACACAACACAATGGCCTCCCTGTATGCCCAGAGCATGCTAGACATCTCCTGTACCAAAGATTTCACACTGCATACCTCCCTACTTTGAAGCTTGTTCTGCCCCCCTCACCCAAATATCCAATTAGAGAGCCACTTCCTTTGAGTCATGCTGAGATCAACACTGAGGCCTCATCTGAACCCACAGGATGCCCTCGCTCCACTGCCCACAGCCAGATTCCCTCCACTTGATGTTCCTGGTCAGTTATTACATTCTAACATCATCAAACTACTCATTTATTTTCCTTGCTTCTGTCTCAGCCTCTGGATCATAAACTACACAGGGTCCTTGGTATCCAAAACAAAGCATGGCACAACCTAGGATCTTCTCAAACAAAGTTTATATTTAGAGAGTGTATCAGTGAATGAATGAGCTGCCTTTCCCTCATATGCGAAATGAGATGCTGAATTACATGAGTTTCCTCCCAAATCCAGTATTACCAAGGCTTCTAGAATACAAATCAAGTTACCAACCTGCCACCTGAAGGTCTAAAATGGCCACTTTAGAGAGTCTTCCTTGCTTGAAGAGGCAAGTGTACTTGCCATTGTCTGAAACCTGTATGTTCTGGATGTACACAGCAGCCTCACCCCGAGAGAGGAAATCCCTCACCAGTGAGGTCCGCCCTGCATACTGGGGCAGCTGCTCCTTGTCCAGCTCCTGACCATTCTGATAGACGAGCACTGCTTCTGTGAATGTGGAACGGAACCACCACAGTTCCATGTCTTCTGCATTCATGGGTGGCCACAGGGAGCAGGGCAGAATGGCATCACCACCCAACACTGCCACTATGGGCTTGGAGGGACCAATCACCTGGAACATAGCTGTGGACAGAGACACAGGACTGAGAACACTGGGAGCCACAGGCTGAGCCCATAAAGATCCTTGAACGCTTGAAAACATCCCTCACACTCCCCTGATGGTCAGTGTCTCTTCTTAAATGAGAAAGGACAATCAGGGTGGGGAGCGCCATCCTCTTTCCAAAATTGAGCCACACACCTCACTCCATCCTGGCACAGAGCACCAAGGACTCCTCCCACCCCAGGGAGATCGGGAGGAAAGATGGGAACACACTCACCTGCAGAGCCCCATGTGGGCAGCTGCACCAGGAGAAGCAGGGAGGGAAGACTGCAGAGCAGAGAGGGGCAGCTGCCACATTCCATGTTGTCAGAGGACAGTGAAGGACAAAGCACTGGGCAGGAAGGAGGCAGGTCCAGCACAGAGGGAAGGTCCTAGATGTTAACAGCAAGGCCAGTGTCACCCATCAGCCCTCATAGATTAAAACATGCCCTACACGATCCACATGCCAGCCATGTGGGGCCAAAAGACCCTGACAGCAGAGGACAGCAGAGGAGCATCAGAGATAGTCCCATCCTCATGGAGCCTGTGTGCTCATCACAGGCGCACAACAACCTGTCTGGCTTGTGGGCTCTAACATCACCTCAAATGGAATCCCATCCAGGCTCCTTCCTCCATTTCCTCAGGATATGCCCTGCAGTGAACAGGTAACCAGGCAATTCCCACTGACAGGAGAATCCTCACTCTCTACACAGGGAGATTTCTCCAGGAGCATCAAAGGACCCAGTGATGAGGCCACAGAGACAAGCACATGAGCCTTGGTCAGAACAAGATGCCACCTACTCTTTGTAGGAGAAAGGGAGAGAGGGCAGCCTTGGTCCTTGGAGGACAGATTCAAGGGCCCCTCTGCTAGGCTCCATGCAGCTCAACCACTTTCAGTGTCGCCACTTCAGCCATGGTCCTTGGCATTCCAGGACTTAGTTCCTCCTTCTGCCAACGAGGAGGTAGCAGCGTCACCCACCATGCAGTGAGAGCTGCACGACTTTGTATCAGTACAGTCATTATGAGAGGTTAGAACCTGACCTTGTCTTAGTACCTGAGAAATATAATGAAAAGTAATGACATAAGGCACTATGATCAGCAACGCTGTCCTGGTCTTCGTTGAGCAACACTTATCCAGCCACCCCCTCCAGCCACCCTCTGCCTCACACTCTGAGCCTCCTCCCAGCCAGCTTCTCCCTGCCTTCCTCCTCCTCCCCCACAGGTGTCCTCAGCCCAGCTTACCTGCTTTTCTTTGTCCTCAGTGTGAACAGCTGTGACTTCCTGCAGGCTCTCTAAAGTCAACAAATTCACAGAGACCCCAGCAGTCCACACCTCCAAGCTTGCACCTGCCCTGGACTGCACTCAGATCCACTGAATCCTCTGCCTGGTGCACTTCTGGGCCCAGGGCAGCTACTCCCAGGAGACATTGGGCTCCCAGGAGACCAGAACAGCAGAGTGGGCACAGCTGCAGCAGCTTCTGCAGAGCCCTGACCCCAGGACCACTATGCCATCCCAGCCACAAGCGTCAGCTCGTCTCTAGTCCCTGGCACCATTTAAAGTGAAAGCTGCCCCAGCAGGAAGTACCCACCCTGTGGACCTTGCTCCCTGCTCTCAGCATGAACAAGGAAATGGACATCCCTATAGCTGCCCGGGGAGTGGCAGCAGCACAGCCCTCACAGCTCCAGCCACTCCTCAGCCCCTCCTCTCAGTCACCACCTGCACTGCCCGTCAGGGGGGGTTTCCCAAGGCCCAGAGATGCTAAAGAAACAGCTACATTTTACTCAGTGTGGATTAGCTGTCAGGATCTAAGCTACACACATTAGCTGCCTGCCACCTTCTTGCCACACCTGTAAACAGGCAGAGTAGAACATGAGCCCTGTCATGTCCAGATCCAGGAACTTCCCAGAGGAAGCAGAAGGTAGAGCTGCAGGGAGACTGCACCTTCCAGTGTCCCCACTCTCCCTCCCAGCCCAGCCCCAGTTCCAAACGACCCAAAGTGAGGAAGAGCTGGCAAAGGAACACAGACTATCAGAGCCTCCACTTGATATACTGCCTGAAGCTCCTCTCATCTTGTAGCCCAGAACTTGCCCTGCTTATCAGGCAGAGGTAGGGGTACCCAGCCCAGGGCAGTTTCTGTGAAACACACCCACAGAGCCCTGTGAGGTTGGAAAGGAGGGCAGCAAGCAGCAATCCTTCTCCCAGAACCCAGAACCCTGCAGCTCTAACATGAGTGTGTTCACTGAGACACCAATGATTTCCCCCTGAAATAAATGATCCTAATAGTGTTGAGTTTAACATTTCACTTCCGTGTTAGCAAGTAGGTCATAACTCTTAGTAGTTCTAGTACTTTCAACTTAGTTTTGAATAAGAGTTTCAGCCATAAGATGACAGGCAACGCAAAGTAAATTAAACGCGTTACTATTTTAAAATACGACAGCTGGGGCAGCTGCTATGACATACTGGATTAAGCTGCAACCCGAGACACCTTCATCCTATCAGGGTGAAGAATCTATATATTTTTGACTTTGGTGATTTCTGCCTTAATGGCTTGGCTGAGGGCTGTGTGAACTCCAGGCCTGACAGTCCACATGACACCTGGCAGGCTACCTAACAGGTCACGTAGGCAGACCACTCCTCAGGAAGGAGGTCCCTGGTGTTAGATAAGACCCACTACCCTATAGCTCATCAGTTTGTACTTTTTGGAAGTTGCTTTCTTCAAACCCACCAATAGAAGCCTGCTAAATCATGACTGTATAATTAATAGCCTGAAATTTATAAGAACCCTGGGCTGCTCAACTGGCCGGGGGTGAGGGCTCTCTCTCTTTCTCTTTCTCTCTCTCTCTCTCTCTCTCTCTCTCTCTCTCTCTCTTTTTCCTGTCCTGCTGCTCCTTCAGCAGCCTCGGCTACAGTGGCCCTTCCCCCTCCAGCCCAGCTGGACTGGGTCGGGGGTGGCTGGGAGACCTAGGTTCCCCTGAATAAACCACCTTTATTCCTTAGCACCGACATCAGACTTGATTTTCTGGAGATTTCGAAATCTGACACAACAAGGGCACTTATTTAAGTCCCAATTCTGAACCAGCTCCCTGCTATTGCACCTGAAAAAACAGAAGACAGCCCCCATTGGAGACCTGGAGGAAGCTCCTGGCTCCATGCTATAGATCAGCTCAGACCTGGCCAATGCAACCATTTTTAGAGCGAACCAGCTAATGGAAGATCTCTCTCTCTCTCTCTCTCTCTCTCTCTCTCTGTTTCTCTTCTCTGTAAATCTGTCCAGTAAAAATAAATAAACCTTTTTTTAAAAAACTATTTTCTAGTTGCTCACTTTCTGGATACAAAAGAAAAATAAAAGACACATTCTCAGGCCCTGCACAATGGCCTAGCAGCTCACCTAGCACACGCAGGGATGCCATATGGAGACTGGTTCCAATACTAGCAGGCCTGCTTCCCATCCAACATCCTGTTTGTGGCCTGGGAAAGGAGTCGAGGATGGCCCAAAGCATTGGGACTCTGCACCTGCTTGGGAAACCTAGAGGAGGCTCCTGACTCCTGGCTTCAGAACAACTCAGCTCCAGTTGTTGCAGTCACTTGGGGAGTGAATCAAAGGATGGAAGATCTTCCTCTCTGTATATCCGCCTTTCCAATATAAATAAATAAATAAATCTTTTTTTTAAAAAAAGACACTCATATGTAAGCACACATACACAAACACATGGTGGTATGATTTTTTCTACTTTATAACATTTTCTCTTCCATCGGTCATGAACCTGGCTCGTAAGCTGAGCTGTGGCCTGACAACCTGCTCAGCAGAGCCCCAGGGTACTCTTTCTCCTTCTGGGCCTGTCAGTCTATACCTCTTGGGGAAGAGCCCTCCCAGGCCAGGCTGTCACCCCTATAATGATACAACCTCAACTCAGATTCAACCTTCTGCCCTACTCCCTCCCAAGGACCAGGGTCTGCCCAGCCCCAACCAGACGTCAGCCACAGAGTCCTCCTGGCCTAGGACCCCTGCTGCCCAACCTTGCTCTGAATGGACCCGCACTCACTGCCAAACCTGAGTCCAGAGGAGGTGAGGAGGTCTCACTCTCCTCCAACCCCTGAGATGCACAAGGGGTGTCAGGACATTCATGGAAATAGAATCAGAACATGAGCTGACTTTGGTGCAAAAATGTTGCAATCTAATTTCTTTTTTTTTTTTTAGACTTTTTTTTAGATGATGTTAACAGCTGATCAGAGTGGGATGGATCAAGGGTTAGAGAGAAGTGGATGTGATCATTGTTTCCATATTTTCTGTTTTCTTTCTTGTTCTGAGGGGCAGAGGTTGAGTGGCAGACAAAGGGAGAAGCCATATCCAGCCTCCTGACTGCTCTAGTACCCAGGGATTGAGAATGTCCACTCAATATCAAGCCAGGGTCACAATGCAGTGCATACTTCCTGGGTTCTGCCCAGCTTGCTTTGATAGTTCTGGAATATTTCAGTCTTGCCATTCCTGGGATGAGTGACGCAATCAATGCCCATTTGCTGAAATACTTGCCCGGAGTCTCCATTTGCGCAGATACTTTCTATCATCCTTTGCCCGGGGTTGTAATCTAATTTCATAGTACACATTTCTCACAAGTTATGGAAGTGTCCTAAAACAAAGGGAAAAAATTCGGTCTGACAGAAAAAGATATTCACAGAGAAAATTTAATAAATTTTATTAGCATAATAAATAAGCAAAAAAATTTTAGAAAGAAAAGAAAGCAGACAAAAAGAGGAAATGAGAAAATAAAGGGTGTAAAGGAAGGAAAAAGAGAAAGGCAATTACGGGAATGAGAAAAATAGTCCCGACATGCCTGGGGTGGAGAGCCATAAGAGACACACTCCCCAGGCACCAACTGCCAGTGGCTCAGTCCCAGAGGGCCAGCGTGTATCCTGCCCAGATGGGCAGCCTAGGAGGTGACCACAGAGGAATCCACTCACACACATTCTCACATACACACAGG